GGGGAGATGCACGCGGGTGTGGGCAGGCGGGTGTGTACCCCCCCACCTGAAAACACAGGTAAGGCTTCATGGCAAGAGCCCCTGTGAGAGCAGCGCCCAGCTGGGATAGATGCAGACCCGGGCCCCGGCGTCGTAGTGCCTTCCTCGGCCATGGGGGATGATCTCAGCGTAGGACCGTCCCTCCCATCCTGTTCCGTTCAGGCAGCGACGTGCACGAGCCTGACTCTCCCTTGTCAGCTTCTCCCCCCAGAGCAAGGACGGCGTTGGGGCCCCCAGAGCAGGTGCACAGGGACCCCGGGCAGGCCTTGGCACAGGTAGTGGAGCCGTACTCTGGTTGTTGCTCCCCCCACAGCCTGGTGAAGCGAGTGGGCAGCAGAGCTTAGTGTGTGGGTTGCTTTGTCCCGGCTGTTTGGCTGTAAGCACCACTGTGCTAGTTAAGAGCAGGGCAGTAAAGGCTTATGGACATGGAAAACTGGCAGCGTGTTGACATGGGGTTCAGCCCACTTCCTTTTGGGAGGCTCTTGCTGATCCTTAGGGCCCAGCGGCTCCACCCAGGTATTTTAACTCACTCATTAAATACACCCACCTGGATGTTGTTCAGTTTGTCTTAAACTTCCTGTGTAGACCAAGTGTGGAGATTCAGATCTGGTCTTGGTTTCAGCAGTGCACGTGTTGATTGCATGCCCTCACGATATGTTACGAAATAGTTGTGGAGAAATGTGCAGACTGAATGCATCCTGGCAGCTCCTTTCCCAAACAGTTAATTGTGTCCGGGCCGACACAATTTTACTCTGTAATTATTCTGTGATGTCAGAGAGATGCTAACAAAGTTGAAAGCAGTGATTGATCCGGCACAGCATTGTGTGAGCATTGGACTCCTGTCAATAAGAGGCCCACGCTCATCGAATTGTAGAAAGATAGGGCTAGAGGGGACTTCACAAGCTCATCTAGTTTAGCCCCCTGCTCAAGGCAGGATCATCCGTGAATAAACCATTACAGCCAAGTTTCTTTCCAACCTGGCCTTGAAATTTCCAACAACGGAGATTCCACAACTTCTCTAGGTAGCCTGTTCTAATATTTTACCATCCTCACAGACAGGCTTCTCTCTGTGGTGGAATACTGTCTTCATCTTTCCTATAATCATCCTTCAGGTATTTGAAGACTGTTATCACTGTTATCAAACAATATCCCCCCCCCCCCAAAAAAAAAAAAATCATTTCTTTTCCCGGCAGAAACGTCTTT